CTCTCGTCTCAGCTAGCTCACGCTACCTGCCCCCCCCCCCCCCCCCCTATACCCAATGGCACATGAACCTGTCCCACATTGCATTGGAAAATGGTATGATATCATCATTGGTGGACACGCATTGCATCCCCATTTTTGCTGCACAATAACTTCAGCCATAATTAGCAGCAACGACCAGGCTTGATTGTAGCCAAGAACAAGTACTGGGTGATCACAATAAGCGACAATCTACTACCTACTCATGTGCTCAATGCACTTTGGGCCATTGCATTGCTCAGCACAGATGCATACGAACAAGATTGTTGCCCAATCCCCATGCTTGTAAGAGTTGACTCGATGTAAGAGTGTCAGAAACTTCCACAGCTTGGCAACTTACCGTCTCTGTGATATTTACAGCAGCAACAGCAACCCCTACAACTTCGCTCCTCTCGCCGCGCCTTGGCTCGCAAGTCAGCATCCAGTGTGTGCAAGCGTCAGGCAACATCAGGGTGATTTCTCCACTAGCAGTTGTGCCGGTCTCGAGAGCTCGCTGCTTTATTGCCATTCCCTCTCGAACCCCAGGGATCGATACCGGCAGGATTTCATCATCCCGTTTTCCAACCATGTCCTGCAAACAAACGGGAGACTTGCTATTCTTCATCACGAATCACTTGCTTCCAGCTTGCTATGCTGACAGACTGTTAAAATGCTTGCAATACCGAGAAAGAGCACAAAAATGCCACGTGCGAACCAAGATGTGCTGCCAGCACAACAACCGAATCAAAGTCCCACAAATTCTTGGCAGCAGAACCCCGTACTAAGCCTGAACCAGCCCATGAGAAAGCTGCCACACATTAGCACAGGTATTTGCACCCTGGATCTGGCTTCTTCAAAATACAAGTTCAACCCATGGTACTGTAAGGAAGCAGACACTTGAGGAGAGTACATAACCCACCAGCCAATTTATATGAACTCCAATCAATACTCTTCATGCTTGACGGTTTGGTATGATAGGCAAACCACTAAAGCTTACCGCATCCCCAAAGAACTGCTTCTGATTGTGAACGAAGGTGTAGCGTAGCTGCCCCATAGAGTCCTTGTCCATCAACCCCACAAAAAGAGCCATGGACTTCACGGCCAAGGCAAGGCACTCTGTCAGGTTTTGCAGCTGCCTCTTGTCAGACTCCAAGAAATTTCTCGACACCTCCTCCTCCATGTGCTGTCCCAAAACCTGTGCCCATCGCTCCACAGTATCCAACTTGCTGTCAGCAGCCGCCAGCTTAGCCTTTAAGGAGGCCTCCCGTCTCATACTTTCGTACAGATCATTCTGCAAACACTCCTGGTTACGCCGCGACTCTGCAAGCTGTGCTCTCAAACTCGCAACCTGACTGCTCAAGCCCTCAGACTGGAGCTTCCACCTCTCTGCAAGCGGTTCGTCCTGCCGTGAAACATCCTGAGCCGCTCGCCTCCCGCTCCGACCGTTCCCCTGACGCATCTCCCTGCTGAGCTCCTGCATGACTTGCCATATCGGCAACTTGCTCTTTCCATTTGCGTGCGGGTTTGCGGCGTCCTCTCTTGTCTTGAACCTGAAAACCTGTGCTGAGGACCATGTTTCGGCTGGCTGTGCTGCTGCCCCTGACAGCAGGACCTCCGCTGCCTGCATGGTTGGTTGGATTTTATTAACGCCCTGGGTCATCATCAAAACTTCATGTAGACATCTGGATCTGGGACCATACTACAAGCCCAACAGCATGGGAACTTTTCAAAGTGGCTGCCTGGGAGCACGTCTCTGCTTCTCTCCTTCAAAGGGACGCCATCCCGCGCGAATCAGTTGACAGGCGTGCTGGCTGACAAACTGGCGCCCTGCTCACAGCACTGAGCCTGTTGAACTGTGGGCAGTGTGGCGCAGTTCACAACAGCCCATTCAGAATTCGCCACCTTGTGCGACGATCCAGTTGGAGAGAAAGTGCCAGTCGCGCCCATGTGACGTTGTTCTCCGCAAAGTACCCGGTTGACCATGTCCCGACCTTTTGTGCCTTTAGGAGTGTACCAGAGATTGAGACTCGCTTGGCGGCCCCGGTAGAAGCAGTACACAGTCGGTTAAAGCTGACCAACTTGCCGAGTGTGCATTATGACGCAAGCAGTTCCAAGAAGAAGACTGATTTGTGTCCGGGTTGGTTTGCAACCAGACCCGGGTAGTGGCCCGTGGGTAGAAGTAGCCGGAAAGCCTGTCCCGAGCTCTTTTAATAACCAGCATAATTTTGCCTCGGTCTTGCTATTTTGGTAGCTGTTCTCGAGCTCCAGTCTTCTACCCTACCGGGAGTAAGTGGGTATTTGATTCCCCTACCGGTACAATAAATGCACTGCCCATTCAGCTCAATGATGCCGTTTCCCGTGCGTTCATTCCGCGTGAGAGAAGATTGACGAGCTAGCCAACGCCGACATGTGTCAGGCGTATGAGATATTTGAGCACAGGTGTTGCCGCAACCACAAATATCAAGCAGATTTCTAGAAAAAGCGCGACACGTTGATGCCATGCTGGCAAAAAGTGGCACGTCCGTACCAGGTGGCGTAACCACGAACCAAGGACCGCCAGATATTGTATTTAACCATGTTATACCGTCCGATCAGAAAGCAACGTATCAACGGTGCTGAAAGGCCCGATGTTACGAACCCAATCGACTGTCGTCTGTCGATCAAGACTACAAAATACTGCCAACCGTCCGATACGCAGCGGCGTTGATTCAATATGAATAATATAATCGAGGGACATGATGAGCCTCGGACTCGCCGGAGGGTGCATGAGCCTGATGAGGCACACCATTGCACATTGGAACATTCAATATTGAGTTGGCTTCACGTTGGCTTGGCCAATGTGCAAGTGTCGCGTTACTGTATATGATCTTAGAATTGTTATTGTTGGTCCGGTATAAAATCTCGCTCGAAGTATAACATGCGCTTGCAATAAAGAGACCGCGAACGCGGCGCCACAAGCTACCTACGGTGGGTTCCGGCCGAGTCGACTCCGACTCGAACCGCAACGAAAATGTGGGACCCGGTATCAAATTCTGTCAGTAGTACCGGCGGTTTACGTCACGGTGACTCGGACTTCCGAAACATGTACGATTCGAGTACTCAGAAAAAATTGCTCGGCCGTAAGTGAGTGTCATGAAATTGTTAAAGAGTGTAATATTTTACACTTTGACGAAAGCATCAAAATGCCACACTAAGACGAGGCTTATGCAACATGCAGAAACCTCTGACAAGCGAAAAAAAATGTTGGGGGGGCGTCATTAGGTGTCCTTGGAAGCTCCAACATCATGTTTTGTTCAGGACAAATCTCAAGTAGCAGCATAGGAGGCGCAAAGTTGGCCGCCATCGTTGGATTTTGAACAGCGCCTTCTCTTACACTCCTTTATCAAATCTCTGCACTCTTCTTTCACTCTGGGTACCGCGGTACTCTTGCTCGGTACAAGTCGGAAGTTCCGACCAAGACCATGAAATTCAATATTTGGACGCGCAGACTCAAGTCTCGCGCGACGGTACCGTACCTCCGGCTAGTACGCAATTGCCCGTTTATCGACGTGTCAGAAAAACTTCCATTCATGAACTCGGACCCAATTCTCAAGTACCGCCGAGTACGGTCGTTAGTACTGCGTACAACATTTGTCGCGACGCGTGACACCGGTCAATCAGATTTGATACCGGACCGTGACGCGGTCGATACCGTCGACACCCACCATAGGTAGCTTGTGCGTGAGACGAGTAAATCTGGTAATTGTGGGGTTGGTTCAACTTAGTGCAGAGCGTGCATCTTTTGGATTAGTAGGCTTCTTAATTCTCATTCCCCCGTGACTCAGATTTATCCGAGCAATTGAATTCGAATTCAAGCGACGGTTGCCGTGCGGCCAGTATATCAATCTATTAGTGCAACGTGTGAAAAGTGCCATGGTGCATGGCTTGAATTCCAAGTTGCATGGCATGAATGCTTTGTCACCCTCTGATCTCGAAGTAGTAGTCGGACAAGGCGCGCATGCTGAGCAACAAAGTGAGGGCCCGGCACTCATCGGTTTAAGTTTTTATTTATCCCCGGTGGGATGTGCTTTACTATCATATCGAAGGTATATGAAAGGAGCATATCCGCAGATCCATATATTATCAGCATCATGCACGAATGCAATTTTATACGCAAGAGCGGCCTCCCAATGTTTTCGAAATAAAGTCATAACAGTCCATACCACTGTCGTGTTGAACTGCCGTTTGATTCAGATGATGGATACTCGGAATCAAAAAAAGGCGCCCAGCCGGCTACCATGCTACAAAATAACCATGTTCAATAAGGATATGGGCCTGCTATCAAGAAATGATGGACGTTAATTTGCTCAATTAGTTGTTACCTTCCGAGTTTTCCCCAAAAGCAGTTCTTCGACGAAAATAGCACACATGAGCAAGAAACAAAAGCTATGATTGTACATACAAATGCACGTCCCTTTTCCGAACCACATACATTTGCAGGACGTCACATGACCAATCTTGTCTGACTTCTAGGCAGGCAACATATAGAGGCCCACTGTAAGACCCAAAGTTCCTTACTAGCTGTGATTGGACGTGCTGCTTGCTTGATACTGCAACTTGGATAAGCTTAACGTGTAGCTTGCTCAAGACTGCAAAGCTCCGACTATATGTGAAGCCGGATGCTCCTCGAAAAGTCGCCTTCTGGTTTTTTCGCTGGAGGTTAGTTTATATCCAAGGGAAGCCCAGGCAATATGGGATTGCAACGCGGTTCTCCCATAGTACATTTGGAAAGGAGCGCCTCAATACCTAGACAACTCTTAAGATTCCAAGTAAAGAACGGGGGATGGCGTGATTTGCAAACGTAGACGCTTGACAGCTTCAGACTCACGTTTGAGAAAGCAAACTCGAACAACATGGTCGACTTTTTCGTGCACTTTTTCGTACATTAGCACGGACTGTCGAGGCCTATCAATGAAAAGGAAGACCAAATGATGTAACGTGAGATACATTAGATAAGACGAGCCGGCTTAGAGGGCCTGAAGTCTCTAAGCTCGTGTAATGAAAAAGCTGGCGCGGAGGGCCTGAAGTCTCCGGCCACTTGCCTTACCCACCCCCGATCTAAAGCATTACCTTGCCTCGCAAGTTCCACGCAGGCGCTGTCGCACTTCCCCCCTACTTGCTAGCAACTCCCTTGCATCTCCGCCACCTTCACGGCCGAGGCTGCTGAGAGGAATCGTAGATCGTAGATCGTAGGCTTTGATTTGAGACGGAAACACCTTAATCTGGACTAGAACAAAGCACTACAAGTCCCTCTTTTCCGCACCACTCGCATGCTTCTGTCAATACCTCCCTGAGGAATTGTACGAACCCGGGGGCCCTTGCGATCCGGAAGGCGGCCCGGGCCGAGCATACGGAGAAGGAGCCCCCTGGTGACCACCACCAGGGGGGCCTCTTATGGGGCCGCCCGGACCCCCCCCCTGGTTTCCGTAAGGATTGTAGCCAGAGCCGCCAGGAGGAGCGCCTGAATAGAAATCAAATGAAACCTTGTAAGACGTACATGCCCCACGCGGGTCAATGAAACAGGCAGATTGTACGAACAGAAGTAGCAGAAGCTGAGTGATTCTAATACAACCAGAAACATCACGAGACGCAACTGAGGACGGGGTAGCAGCCGCCAAAGAGAGCTTCGTTATGAGTACCTTTAAAGCAGGTCGGCACTGCGGTAGCCAGAAACTGGGCAGCTGGAGCAGCTAAGCCGTTCTCGCATGCCGATGCTGCAATCTGCTGGAAAGCCTTCAGATACAATACTTCTTTTTGAGGTTGAAGTACGAGCAAGGAATACCTACCCGCATTTTGATACCCTGAACCACCACCGTAACCCCCTGGCCCGTAACCGCCCTGCCCGGGGGGGGCGTTTGCCGGGCCCGGACCATAGCCTCCGGGGGCCCCAGGGGGTCCAGCACCGTTGCTAGGGGGCCCCGGGGGCTGGTAACCTTGAGACGGGGGCCGAAATGAGGGGGGTCCTGGTGGTCGGAAAGAAGGGGGGGCGCCTGCGTACAGGGAGAGAAGCAAAGACCCGTGACAAACTGTGCAACGGAGTCTGTTAAGGGATGCCGGAACATGGCGGCTCGAGAGAGCGCATCAAAACAAGAGCCGATCTTCTAACGGGAGCTCCAGGGTTTGCAACCATCTTGCACTTCTATTCAAAGAACAGAAGAGGCATGAGCTGAGCAAGTGTCCGCATTTTCAGATTCTGCAGAGTATCAATGGCCACAGCAGAGGTTTGGCAGACTCGTTTGAAAACGGCCCATTCACAACAATGGAAATAGAGGACTGGCTTATCTACCTCCAGCAAATGTCGAACTTGGAAGGGAAACACCGACAACCTCGTTTTGAAAAAGACTACTTGGCAACCACGGCTGATAGTTGCTGCCTCCATAATGATAATTCTAAACCACAACCAGTACTCCCTATTGTCCTTGTGGCTGTGCCACCGCTTTTTCGCTTCTCTTGAGCTAGCATACATCAAACACAGAATCGTGGAAATAGTAGTGCTGAATAGTAATTCCGTTAACAGTCCATAACAAACCCAGAAATATGCGTGCACCTGTTTGCCGCGGTGGTCCTGGCGGCCCAGGGAGGGGTGCTTGTTGGGAGCGGGGGGGCAGGTTTCGTGCAATCAGCGGCAGGTTACCCTGACCTAGGACCTGCAAAACCAAGCAATCAAGAGCGGTGTTAGAGACTATCAAGGCAAACGATCGACTTGCCGGAATTGCCTTTCTGGTACTAGTAAGCGGCCAAGGGTGAAGTTCTCAGGGAAGCGGGCTTCGGAGCAGATTTGAAGGAAGTACGGGGTTGCACAAAAAGGAGGCGACCACTCGGTGCAATCAATGAAGGCTCAGAGACACGCTGGCATGGCTCAAAACAAGGTGCAGACTCACCTGGCCGCCCCCCCGCTGCAGATACTCCTGGACTTTCTGGTCTACCAGACTCTGTGTCTCCTGCTCTTCAAACTGTTGGTAATACACCCGCACAGCCGCCTGCAAAAGGCAGCACTGCATGGATCAGCTGCAGGGACCAGTAATAGGCTGGTATCATTTCTGAAAAGTTTGAGGCCGTTGCATTGACCATAAGTGCACGCAGAACAAGATGGCACCGAACAAAGAAGGAATTCCGTTTTGAGTTTCCCGCTTCGAATTATTATAGACGGCAGACGCAAGTGGTCCTCCAAGAAGCAACATCAAGATGCCCCATTTGTGGAAAAACCTACTCCACCAACAAGTATGCCACAACTTGGGGCTGGGTCTTGGATTTAACGGCACCCGCTCATGGACAAGTGCAAAGATTACTGCCCCAAGGACGAAACGGTACTTCTAGTTAGATATGATTGTCATGCTTTCTCACCTTGTGCTTGTACCCAGAGTTATGCTGTTTCCTCACGGACGGCTGCAATCAAAAGCACGTTCTCCATGATCAGTTTGTCTCGATTCTGCCTCAGAAGCACATGGCTTGCACAGAAAACTGGTCAAAGAACAACCTTTCTTTCACAACGTCGTTGGTTCTACAGCTAAGAAACCAGGTCATGACTGGAGAATGATACATCAAGTACACGAAGTGATGACGTGTGGCGCCCCAGTCGCGTCTCTCTCTCTACATCGACTACCATCCTGCGAAAGATTTGCAGAAGCCCCAATGAAATCTGGCAAGCATGTAGCAGTCTTGTGAACGGGCCAAGGATTCTCTGGCCAGACCGCTTACCGAGTCATGTGTCAAGTAAACATCACAATAATCACAGTAGTACCTGCACAACATCAAAATGGGCCAAAGTTTGAACATGAGCAAGCAAAATATGAGCGGTTGCAGTGGCGGCGTTTCGAAAAGGATCAGGGAAAAGTCAGGAACGTTTATTGCCAGTTTGATAGATTTTCACTGGGGCTGCCCATACTCTTCAATAAAACGATCACTAAAGACTACTTAAACACACACAGGCTCACACCTGTAACGCGTGTTCGCCCCTAGATCCAAATTTATACTAAATCTCACACTCTTCTCGACCACCAAACATTACCAAACTCTCGCCGACATTCTGACAAGGGATACTGTTTGCTCCACTTACCTGGGCATTGTGCCTCTTTCCTGAAATGTCCGGGCCTCAGCCCCCAAAATGGTGGTATGTCAACTTTCCACTAAAGCAAGGCCGATAAGGGCCAACTTGCATACGAATGAACCACCCTAAACAAGGTCTTTAGATTCACACCAACGTGCTCAGCTCGAGTCTCGAGGTGCTCTGATTAATCAACGAAATCATGCCTTTCTTGCTCCCAGCGAAGTGTTCATATTTAAAACTTCTTGCATGAACTTGATGAAGTTCAACATCAAGCGCCTCCACCTGGTCAATTTTATCCAGATTGGAATGGAAATGCATGAATCAAGCAGTGTTGAAGGAGTTTTCAGGTTCATCAAAAAGTTTGCAAATCCGCGCAAGTCCGCGTCCGAATCTTGCGAACCATGGCCCGTGAGCTGACAGTGACACTGTCCCAAAAACAGTGGTTTCAAAAGCCCTTATAAAAGCAACCAGTGTCAATCAGTTGCGCCCGGCGAGAGCTGCAAAAGCTCTGAATATATGCACGTGGGGTTTTCTGTTTGAATAACAGGGATCTTGCTTGCAGCTGCTTGGATTTTCTGGTGGTCCAGACTTCGAAGCCTACGTTGCAACAAAGGTGTCACTGCTGCAGCTGCCAAGGGTTTTCTCCATTGGCGTCAAGAGTTGAGCACGGGCCTCCACATGAAGAACGAGTGCTGTGTGATTGCAGTTCCTCTCCTTTTTGAAGTGCCAGGCGAAGAAAGACACAGACGAGTTGCATCTACTGGATTTGATACTTCTTCAATTTTTCTATAGAAAGTGTAGGAAAGTGAAGGAAATATTGTAGAATATAGATAAGAGTTTTCGAACTATCAAACCATGAGAATTGTCCCACTTTGACGGAGTAAACAGGACTCTGGTTCTAGTGGTGGCATGGACTTCGAGACTGAGCAGAAGTTTCTCCTCAGCAAGCACGTGGGTTACTTACTCGCCAACCTGCAACAGCTGCCGGCGCCATATGCAGGACAGGAGAGCAACCGACTCACGTTAGCCTACTTTGCTGTGGTGGGGCTGAAGATGCTGGATGCGCTCGACGAGGCAAGTGGCGGAAAGATCTTAAAATGCCCATGTCCTCCTTGCAGGTGGTCAATTGAGGCAAATTTGAGCGTATGTTTCTGTGTAAATGTTGCAACGGCTTCCTTGGAGAACGAGCCGTCGGGCCTGGTGAAACATTACATTATAAGCAGAAGCAGAAACAGCGGTGGTTGTGCATCTGATTGGAGAACTGGGTCAGTGCTTTGCAGTTTTGGAAGTGAGGACATGTCTTCAGACGTCAACGTTGGGAAACAACCATCTTGACATTGCCAGATAGCTGCATCAAGGCCTTTGAGTGGCAGAATGTGGTGAAGTATGACCCTCTATGTTTTCAGAGGATCAGCATCTGAATAGCCCCTCTCTAATCATAGACCTGTATCCCCTCCTCAAACAATGTGGTCTATCGATAGTAGAACATTTTGTCTAGCGTCGAAGTCACCGTCACTATAAGATGGGTCAGAAGATATGATAATTGTCTTCCACCAATCAAAGAACGAAACTTGCCATGCTGCAGGGCGCTGTGCCAGAGATCACTGAATGGGTGTACAGTCTGCAAGTGATCCCTGAAAAGGGGCAAGTTGAGAACGGCACCTGCTACGGTTTTAGAGGCTCCCCCTCTCTAGGAATACCCTACTCTGAAACAGGGGTGAGTCCGTCAAACAACGTGGTTATGATTTGCATTGGTTTTGGGCCCAGCCGATTTACTCTCCCCTGAGCGAGTAGCCTCTGGCGCTCGCTCAAGTGGCTCCGCATTCACTTTGTTCGCAACAAGAAAAAAGAGCGCCATTTTGTTTTCTGTCCACCGCAGATCATCTCCCTTCAATGTGCCTGGCTTACCTTAAAGCTGTGACACAATCTGCACTATCTGGCCCTTTGAAGTTTTGGTTCCACAGACTAGCTGGTCAACTTGTGGTCTGGCGCAACTTACCATCATTTGTGCAGATTTGACCAATCCTGGACCCGAGCTGGTTCAATAACACAGAATTTCAGCAATCCTTCACCTCGTTTTGGGCTTTTGATGCTTTACAATCTCCGTACGAAGCCTGCGAAGGAATGTACGATAATCTACACAACCTTCAGCCACCAACTCGTCGCCGGTGCTCGTCAGCCATAGTTGCATGAATATCTCGTCAGTGAGTTCGATCTTCTCTTGCAGGTACCCAGTCAACACCAGTACGACTCGGCCAACATAGCTGCCACCTACAGCGCTCTGGCAATCCTCCGCTCCTTCGGGGATGACCTCAGCCGGGTGGCCCGAGAGCCAATCCTGCGGACATTGCAGCGCCTCCAGCAGTCAGACGGCAGGTAGTCTAGTTGCTTGCTCAATTGTTCATCTGGTCGTACTTGAAAGTTGATCCTTCTCGAACTTCATTTTGTAGAGGATTTATCAGCATGAAGAAGGTTTAGGCGGAGCCCAGCCCGGGGCTATAGTATTAGCAGACCTGTGAACCTTGCCTTCATCCGAAAGCCAGAAGTTCGGTGGTTTCTGGTTCCTCGATCTTTGAAATCGATGGACGAGGCAAGCATTGCGTCTTTCACGCGCTCCTCGCAAGTTGTCTGCCTTGCTCGCTTACAACAGTAGGCCGTTCTTTCTCAAGAAGCTTGCTTACGAGGAGTAGCGACTTCAATAAACGCGTATGGTTTGTTAGCTAGGCCTCCTCTTTTGACTTCGATGATTTTGAATCTCTTAATACAGACGTCATTTGTTAATGTAGATGATCAAAGTAGATTTGGACAGTTTCTGACCAAGCGATTCAGTTCGGACATAAACGGATCGGCGTAGTGTGCGTCTAGACAAAGTTATCCCTTTCTCAACTCAATCTCCGCCTGCAGTTTTGGGTCCGTTTGTGCTGAAGCTGAGTCTGACATGCGCTTCGTTTTCTGTGCTGGTGAGCAGCCGTCCCTCGTCTCCGTTGTGATCCTTCCAAAGCTAAAGGTCTTCCTCCTCCGGTCCCAACAGGATGTTTTGGGGTCTGGCGCTGCTATGTGACCTTTATCCAACGTCTCGTCCAAGCTTTTGACAATATAGGGGTAAAGCTCCACAATACTTTGCCGGCCAGACAATACCCTGGCTCTCGAAGCGTAGAAGCATTGACAGAATAGCTAGCCCTCGCACTCGGAGATCAGTATACATGTGACGGCCTAGAAGACGCACCTTCAGATCCAAACCCGTCTCAAAATCTCATGGACAAATAAACGTTGACGCCCTTAAACAGTTGTCGGAGTTTTGTAGAATCAATCATTTTGGAGACTCAATCATTTTTCCAAAGACTCGATCATTTTGTAGACTCAATCGTTTATCCAAAGAACTCGACTCTAGGACTGCTAACACCCATAATCTGTCAACCTTGGATTAAGCATCTTTTATCCTGGCGCCTGATCATTCTCAAACTCGGACTCAGTCAGTTTCTGACTCCATTCCGCCTGTCTCTGCAGCGGCCATATGCTCAATTCTCGGCGACCAGACGGCAATCGACGTGGATGCCGCCGTCCAGTTCATACATCGGAGTCGGGGTTACAGCGGCGGGTTTGGCCTCGCTTCAGGCCTCGAAGCTCATGGTAAGCGGGCGAAACGCTGCTCAAGGGCGCGTGGTTATGCGGTGTTACGCGCCCGGTTACTTGGCCTGCTACTGACTTTGGCTGCCAATGCTCGGTTAGGCTGGTTTAAAACCTAAACCTAAATCTAACCTAAATTGAGCCATCCCATGCGTCCACTGCCCATCACTAAGGGCTCCAAGTCGTATGATAGCTGCTGGTCGAAGTCGTGTCAAGCTGGCAAGTATGGATAGATAGAGCGTACAAGAAGATAGTGGACTTTGGGTTCGTGGCTTCAATTTTTGTCAAATGCGGAGATAGTCGATTTGGTGTGTTTATTGTGTTGAGTGGGCCTTTCGGCCGGATTCAGGGTCGTGTGCCTCGTGAAGAAAGCGGAACTGTTCCACTTAAGTCTCAGGCTTCCCACCTCTCCATCTTCGCGGTTCGAGGTTTTCTGCTTCTCGGTGCAGTCGACTCTCTCGTATAACGACGTGTCCAATCTTATTTGTGCCACCCGTCCTCTTCAGATACGTCGCATGCTTTTCCCCTTATTTTCCCGTGGCTCAATGTAACTCGTTCGCACGCCTTACCCTCGACAAAACCGTGGCGGAACTTTTCCTCTCTTTTTTTTTGCTGTTGCTTGGGCAACTTTTTTCCTATTCTCTATCTCTAGAGACCTTCTTTTTATGTAGGCTTGCTTCTTGGAGCAAGCATAACCTTTTAGAATGGGAGCAATCGCCTTCTAAGATTTGAGCAATCATCGCTTTTTTCTTTGGTTTGCTTATTCGTAAGCTACGCTTCCTGCAGGGGGCGCGACGTACTGCGCGGTGGCTGCGCTCAAGTTGCTGGAACGTCTTCCACGACAAGGAAACGCGCTCGGTACGGAAGCTAACGGTTGCGGGAGAACAGGGACTGAGGGGATGGGAACGACGTTGGAGTGGTGTTTACAGGTCCGTCTTCGCCATCATTAATCTTTTTCGTTCACCGCTCGCTGTTCCTTCTTTCAACAAGTCGCAATCGCGTATGAGGTCATCGATTCCCCTTCTCTGGTTACATAAGGTCTCTGTCTCATCAGCTTTTCTGGGCTACTTTTGCTCCTGTATACACGGGGTCGACTTCCATTTGTTTAGGTCCTCATCCAGGAGTGGGAACCACCACTTCTGGAAAACTGGACAACGGGCCCGCCTAGTCCCGTAATGGCGTTGGCACTGATTGCGACAACAAAGAAAGGCAGTGTCTTGAGGCTACTCCGTAAGATCAGTACCTGCTACTTGCTTGCTCAGCAAGGTAAAGTTTTCGAGGTTTAGAAAGACCTACCCACTCAGCCCTTACAACCAAGGAATGCGGAACCGGGGCCCTTAGACGTGGATCGGACGGCTTGCATTCGTGGGCATTTCAAGTTGCCCTTGGCTCCACATAGACAGGTTCCTTTTCCCGATGCTCGGCACCAGGCTCCGTTTTCCGTACTAGACTCCTGTCCACGGAAATCATTCAGCAACACAGGACGGGCGGTTGGGTCGCTTGCCTGTTCAGCGGCGTAAGTTGCGCCGCGCACCTGGTGGCTTCTCGGCGAAGAACAATGGCGGCCTGTAACTGCTTGTCTCTGTGAGTCGATTCCGTTTTCCTGACGTTCCGTCCCGTTCCGTTCTGCAGCGGCAGACGTCGAGCGGCGGTCTGCAGGGCCGGGCCAACAAAGACGCGGACACGTGTTACGCCTTTTGGTACGTCACCCCCGCCCTTGAAACAGGAGAGTCAGAGAACCCGAGAAAGAACTTTTTCGTGCTTCCGTGCTTCTCCAAAACTCAGTTGCGAAGTCGTGAAGCAACCACTTTGAGATGTCACATGCCGTCCAGTTTTTGTGAGCAATGATTGCTCCTCTTCATCACGTAAGCGCCGGCGGTCTCAAAGTGTGCACATCGTTTGTCAGCATATCTGCTGCAGTGTGTTCATGATTTATTGCTCCTTGTAATTCTCCGCAGGGTCGGAGCCTCCCTCGAAATGCTGGGGGGCTACTCTTTCTTGGACCGCCAATCCCTGCGGCGCTTCCTTTTTCGATGCCAAAACCAGGTATGCTTCCAAACCTCTTCTCGTTTTCGCTGCGTTCTTTGCCGGGTAAGACAAAGCTTTGCGGCCTTACAACCCCTCAATGCAGTATTCGTTTCTCTCGGACAGCTCAGACCCTGTTCAAAGCTCGCCATGGATCGTGAGTCCGCATTCAAAGTCTTGCGAAGCTGTGCTCATCGTGGCGCTGTGCGAGCAACCCCTTAAACCAGGAGGATAGTGTGCATTTTCGAACTTTGACTTCTGTCTCCTCGCTTTCTCATTCTTAGTATTAAAGAACAACCTTAACACCTTCAGTCGTTTGGTTTCGGACACTGGCTGTAGTGTCTGTCCTTCCAGATTGGTGGGTGCGTAAAATTGACCCCGACCCGGTTTCTTGGTTTCTGCAGAAGTATGGAGGCTTCAGCAAGCATCCTGGCGAGTTGCCCGATCTGCTTCATACATTCTACGGGATTTGTGGACTCAGTCTAGTCGGACAAGACGGCCTCAGACGAATAGACGTGTCGCTGGGAGTCCCGGTCACTTGACCCGTTACCCTGGGTTCAAGCTCTCGTACGCTGGTTGGATTGTGACCTTCCCTGGTTCAACGACTGAGAGCAACCTGAGTCTTCTTATTCAATGCCACACCGCAATGTCGCACCTGATTGACTGCATCCGCTTTGCTGTCATGCTCGAGAACGAGTTGACACATGTTTAAGGCACAAGGCCAAGGACATGGCCGTGGCTCTAGACAATGATAGCTACAACAGCTAGCTCAATAAGAGGAAATCTTATTGAGCCTGTGACAACTCCAATACATATGCACAAAACGGTGCATATATGAGGCATCGACTCAATGAAGCCGCGTGTGCGTGCACGAGCAACAGATTTCCATTTTCTTTCATGTGTCGCACATCACAATTATAGCTATTCAATTACATCTAGTGCATGCAATTAGATGCCAGATTGTACGTCCACAGGCCGTATACGTCATTGCATACAACATTGAATGATTGAGCGGGGTGTCTTCAAGACTTCCATGCAATCATATAGCTAGGCTCGTCAACGAGGACTAGTAGCTCATGGCCTGCAGCCGGCTGAGTCTAGCACCTAGCCTGGTCGTATATGCCATGTTGATCGTGTCTAGTGAACGCTATGGCCAATCAACGCATAAGCTCATTACAGTCAAGGGGCAGCATGCACTGGAGGGCGAACGAAATGCGACCTTCCATTTTTGGCCAACTTGTCGTAACCTGATCTCCTTCAATGTTGATTGCACTGTACAGTTTTTGACTAGTGACGCGGTCTTACAAAATCTTGAAACTTGGAAACTGGAAGTCGAAGCCGGCCTAAGTATCGTCCACAAACGCAGAGAGAGCGCACTCCCTCTCAGGGACAACCCGGTAGAGGGGCCTTCTCCGAAACGGCCACTCCATTAAATGCAAAGCTCCCCCGATTACTATCCCGATGCAACAGCTCAGACCAAGAACGAGGAACACGCCTGTGAAAGATAAGACTCCGCGAGTGGAGTCTATAGGTCGACACTCCAAGCCTGAGCTGTAGTAACCCTGATTGCATATGAGGAGAGCGCAGTCCTGGTTATCATACGAACACCCCTGCACATTGAAAAGGCGGATTCACAAACGGACGGAATGAGAGCAATGGAACGAGCGGAGCAACGGACTGCATAACCCAAAAAGAGGAATCTCAGACGAACGGCACCGGAAGAGAGCAGCCGAAGGAGGACGAACGGACAGAACGAGCAAGCTGAGTGAAGACGGATGGAAGCTAGCCCAGAGCTGGAGCCGAGGGCGGAGTAGAAGAACGTGCTTCGGCTTTCGTCCTTTATCTTTTCGACCAAGCTTCGTCTTCCTAAAACCAACACAAGTGTGGCTTGTGCGACAAATGGGTACGGGTTGGCACCATACGTGGCCTCAAACTTAACAGCCAATCTAACGCCTATGGAAAACACGTAAAAGCAGAGGAGAGCACATTCACCTCCGTTGTGCATTTGCATCTCGAATGGCAAACCCCGTTTGCCACGGCGACCCGATTTTGCTCGCTGCCACCAAAACTTCCCTCCTGCGAAGACGAAGAGATGGTTGGTGAGTGCGCTCAAGGTCGGCGAATCGAAAGACCCGACTTGATGACGTAAGCAAGAGCATACGTTTCTATGATACAGGAGTAGACGAAACAAACACGAACAGGTGATTCAAAGAGTATGTTAAACTAAAGGCTCTGCTGACACCCTCGTAGTAAAAACGAGCACTCGTCTGGTTCAATAGATGCACATGTATCATCGTTCCTGATCGCACCGCTGCAAGTTAGCGGATCAAGAAGGTGAGGACCTTTCAAGTTAAGGACCCATGCGCGTTGGCTCCTTGCACAAGCATCATCTGAAACAACGTGTGGATGTACTCTTGCACAACCGCTTTGTACGCGGCTCTGTTCATGCAAATGAAGGGCCTCAACTGTAAAAGTCTAACCACTAAAGCCCACAATATTCACTTCTCAGACGCCCACAGAGCGAAGCTTTCAGTTGCCAGCAAGACGTGACATTGGACTGCTAATCTGAACGACTATCAATGAATCAATCTTCTCCTCTTCTTTTTGTGGACTCTTCTTCTCAGAGCAGTCGGATCTGACTCCCTTCGAAACCCCAAATGAGCTCGGGACCGTTTGTTGAGGAATGTAGAATCAGCAAGGTGCTGGTTAGCACAGGACACTCACCCTCACAAAGAGACCAATTTGAGAAAGGGCCCCGTAAGGTTAGAACACTCACCTCACATCCTGTGGACCCGAAGCTTCCGACAGCACGAGCACATTCCCAAGTGACCCCGTCATGCTGCGGAACAGCTCCGCTGTCGCACAGAGACCCGACGCACGGTTGCGCAAACGAGCAGGGCAAGCCCGGTGGGCAGACGCACCTGGGGTGGAACAAGGGCTGCTCTTGAGTGTGCGAGAGGTGCTGGAAAGAACGTATGTAAGGAATTGGGGAAAAAATAACGGGGAGGAAGGATGGTTCCATTTCCCACCCGACCGTTTTACCAGTACAGGTACAAGTTCTCGGTAATCACGGTTTTGCGAGATCTGGATGTAGCCTTACAAACATTCAAATCAGCGTTTATAACGACGATCAGGGATTAAGATCCACAAGAGCAACTTTGGCTGGCTTACATGAGTTAGCAGGGTCAAGGGGGCAGAAAACTGCAAAAAACGGCGTCTGGGGTTGGTGATAAGTTGCTGAGCTTCCAGCAAAGCTATTTCACCGTCGGCCCCAAACTAGAGTCACAGCTCCAATCATGTAAACTCGCGCCACTCTTGTCAAAGCGACTCTCCCACGGAGCAACTCCGCTAGTACCATGGAAACATTCCTTTGCGACTTTTTCCTCCCTGATTAGAAGAAGCAGTCACGCACGAAAGCGAGGCACAGTATAGAGAAGGAGAAGAAGCACCCACTCCTGTAAACATTGGCCCAAGCCACTCCCGAGAGGGACCCTCCGTAACACCCCCGCGGTGCAGTTCTCCCCCGACGACGTGTCCGCTAGGCACCGCTTGCTCATGTCGGGCGCCCTCCGGAAAGGGGGCAGGCACAAGAAATCCTCACAGCCGGCCTCTATGGCACATTCCCCTCCCGAGCAGAGGCATCTACAGAACAGGAGAGGTTGATGTTAAAACAGCATGGATTAAAGCTGTTCTTTAGAGTCCTGTTGCAATGCGATTGTACGAAGACGTGCTTAAAACCCGCAGGCACTCATTGTCAGCCCTCAGTCCATCCCCTTCCCCTGTTTGAGTAAGACTGTGATGTATCAAAAGGCTATTTTGAAGGAAATGTTCTGAGGCTGGAGTCGTCCAGTGTATGCAGGAGGTATGCTGCAGATTGTGTTCAAGCAAGGGAAGCTGACTCAATCTGCTCTTGGTAGGGGGGGAAAAGTGAAGAGATCCACGCTCCTAAGAAGGGGGCAAAAAACCCATCAAGCATAAAAGAAGATAGGCGTTTGATTCAGGTTTCTGAGAAGCTTGAGACAGACGCATAATGCTGAATCCACACTTTGACAACATACACGCTGGCAAGGGGTTTTCAAAGAGCAATCACCAGTAACTTGCCCGCTCCTTTCATGTTGGCCACAACACGTTAAAGCAACACAAAGCAAATGCTGGCCCCTTCCAGACAAACTGATGCAGATGGTGACTAGGCCGAACTTCAATCAAACCAACGCTGTCAACGCACCGTTTCAAACACACGGCCCGCCCGTCGTCGACCACTTTCCTCTCCACAAACCGGGGGTCACATTCTCCTGCCACGGGTGCATCCACAAGCTGAAAAGTGTTGAGGTTTGGAAGCACGAGGCCTCCGCCATCTCTTGCATCCAGCTCAAAAGGACAGCAGATGATGAGCAGGAGTGCCGCTGACCAAAGCCGTTTCGACATCCTTTCCGTGGACGAGGAGTGCCCCTTTACTGAGTGCCCCTTTCCTGGCGCGCTGAGATGTCCTCATGCAAGCAAACCCAAGGCCCTCGAAACTCTCAATGAAAGCTCTCTTGCTTCACTCTCTTCCCTCTCTTCCCTCTGAGTCTCATCTCTCCACACAGCTGTGGCCAGCTGATCTTGCCGCCTCTCCAAATTTCTTGGCTTTGCATCTGACTATGAGGCGGGTTACACAAAATGCTCTAGGCAGGTTATACACTCGTGGGTTAGATGAATATCTCCTACCTATACCGAAACTACGGTCGCAGTACTGCACGGACCCTGGGCCTGGGTCCTGACCCTGGGTCCTAACCCTTCAGTCCCAGCCCTGAGTCAAAGCAGGTTATCTGAAGTCGTGCCAGCAAACCATGAGGGAGCTTTAAGTTTATGTGCAATGTAGCGTGAGGAGAGATTCGGCTGAGGGCGGCGTAGTTGCTGGAGCCCAAAGGCCGAGAGTCTTCCATCACAGGGGAATGCTAAGCGGCAGCGGCAGGAAAGGCCCATACGCAATTATGTCATGTAGCCACTTGTCGTAGCAGGCAAAACGAAATTGACGGGATGGACGGTCGGAGCCCTGCCTGTCTGCTCGTCCTGTGTGGGCTGCCGGCCGTGGGAAAGACGTCTCTGGCGCAGGCGGTGCTCGATCACCTTGTACAAAGTGGTAAGTTTGAGCTCTCTTTCAAGTACAGGACTTTTGACCACCCTGTTTGGTCGGCTGTTCACAAGCAAGGGTGCCTGCCTTGCTGCCTCCTTGGTCATTCATGTATAGGACACAATGAGCCAGGCCTGTTATGAAGCCCCAAGTCCTGCTTTGCAATTTTACTGCCATTCCGTCCCTGCTGATCGAGTGCAAAGCAGAGTATGCCATGCGGTGGCTGGCATGTGTGATTCTTCTGTTCAGCCCTTACGGACAACATCTTATCCCCTTGTTGCAGGTGCTCCTATCAAGGCCTTTCATGTTTGTTTTGACCACTACATCAATAAGGAACTGATGGGAAACTCAGAACTAGAGCGGGCAGAATTGAGCGGGGCTCCAGGACCAGGGCAGGTGGTGATGGGGACTCTGGAACCAAAGAGGGGAGAACTGCGGGAAAGTCCGGAGGTAGAGCAGTTGACATTGCAGGGGGCTTCCTTCAAAATAGAACGGGGCGATTCGAGGGTATTTCCAGTCAAGCCTCTTCAGGGGGATTGGAGGGAGACTCCGGAACTAGAGCGGGGGGATACGGGGGAGACTTTGAAGCGAGAGTGGGCAGAACCAACGGGAAGTCCAGAACTAGAGTGGGCAGGCTTCAGTCCAGAGCTGTGGAAACGTGCGAGGCGGCTGGCTATCCAGAAGGTTGAGGAACTGCTTAGAGAGGCGAACGAAAAAGAAGGTGAACACTTCGAAGTTTCGTACAGCAATATGTGTGTCGTCAGTAGTCTTAGAGAGGCTCTTTCTTCTGATTGGACTAAGCAACAACTGTTCCTCATGGCTGCAAATTAGACGATAGAAACGCTTGTTATTACAGCATGTCGATGCTCCGCTAACGATTCTTTTATATTACTCGTTACAGAACTTCTTTCGTTCTTTGCTGACATCAGCTTCTTGCGCAGGCCCCCTCGCTCAACGGACGCTGGTCATTGCGGACGACAACTTCCACCTCCGCAGCATGCGACGGGAGCTCTATGTGCTCGCGCGCACGCTTCGTGCGGCCATCGTTTTCCTCTATGCCACCACCGTGCTGGAAACGTCCCTCTCTCGCAACGCATTGCGGCCTCCTGGGAAACAGGTCCCAAAAGAGTCCATTTTGCGGATGGCTGCGACGTTCGAGCCCCCTGGTCAGAGCGCATTTCTTGTGGGGGGTTGTACCGGAACGTCTTCCAGAGTATGTCAATCGGAGGGGGCAGAGGTTCATACTGAAGGGGGCCCTGATGTTCTCAAAGGAGGGCCACAATCGTTGGAACCGGCAGAGACGAAAGACGGATTAGAGCTGAAACGAGCTACTTCAAACCCAGCTCTGGACGTTTCGTCGCATGAAGCTTCCAAAACATGGAAACCTGGGGCATCCAGGGAAGCGGAACTTTTTGGGGGCGGCAAAGAGCAAGGGCCGAGTAGACCCCTTACAAACAGAGCTGCCGATTACAGTTCTGACTCCTCGAAAGGAGCAGAAGCACGGCGTGGCATGGCGGGAATTGCGCGTGATGGAGAATCTGCGCTTCCAGAACGGGGTCAGAAAGGCAGGACGTGGGAGGCCCCCGTTGTGATCATAGACACGAGTGTCGAGCGTGGCAGGACTGAGAGAGCGGCCGAAGTGTGGCACAGAGTCTGGGACGCGTGGGGCCAGGCACCGGAAGAGCCGCCGGATCGAGCGGAAGAGGAGGCGAAGGTGAGGCGTTGCGCACTTTCGAAAAAAAGACGTTTCTATCCGACTTTAAAAGCGAAAACTCCCTAGGACGGAAAACAGTCGGTCTTTGGAAGAACCGAATCTTGTCCTGTCCCCTTGGCTTTGTGGGAGAGTTCCGTTGAAGATTGTAAGCTGTTGTCTTTGACCGCCTCACATACACAAAGACAGGGCTCAGGGACGTTGTGACAAATGCCGCCAACTCGTCATGTCGGGACTTTTCTCTTGGTGGGTCAAGGGAAGGGAGAAGGAAAGGTTTATACGGTTACGATGCACTTACTTGAGGGTTGGGGTTTCCATCAACGCGCGTCTTTCCAGCCCAGCGCCGCATCCATATCTTACCAAATGTTTTCGTATTCAGACTTCCCTGTTGAGTCGAAGCTATGCTGTCCTGCCTTGCGTCCGTCGAAACTCTTTAACAAACTTTGAAGTCCATCCTGACTGAAACGTATCGCCTGGTTGCGAAAACCGATACTGATCTTTCCTGGTATCTTTTAGCTCTCTTTTAACGCATGTGCTTAGAATATCATAGTGACTTTGAGCTGGGTCTGACTTGGTTGAATCGTCCATTAGGTGACGAAGAGGTGTTGAATTGAAGTTGACTCGATTGAAGCGTTCATGAGGGGGCGGAGAGGTCCTCAGCGTACTTGCGAATCCTTGTTCGTTTCTCCAAATTGCTAAAGACTTTTGATGCCGCTGGCGAATACGAAGGCTTCGTCCACCCTAGACGTCACTAGATCCATATTCCAGTGAACGAAAGAGATCCAAGAGTCTACGTCGATCTTTTCTCTTCCACCTGAGAGATTGATTTGTTGACCTACCTCCTTGCTTCTTTGCAGCGTGCTGCCGCGGTTGCTGCTACTGCGGACAGCATCCTTCACGCTCTAGATCTGCGGACTCGCCGAGCCCTTTCTTCGGCTATGCTAGATGCGGACAAGACCGGACGGCACGTGATTGTCGATAAGAAGACCTTAGCCCAGCCTCTCAACCGTGCTAGAAAGCAACTCATGACGGCCGTACGTCTGATTCACAACGAGCAAATTCTAGAAGCAGGTTCAAAAAAGGATATTCCAAATCCGATGCGCTCAATTCGAGTGTTACAGGAAGAGCTGTTTAAGTATGAATGTGGAGACGGTTTAGAAATGTGCGATAATATGGATCACGGCGGAAGCTTTCAGACCATTGAAGTTCTAGCCGCTAAAGCAGGAGACTGGTTTGAGAGCTTATGCGGGCGTCAAAGACGTATTCAAGGATCGTGTTCTGGTAGACTTCGTGGATCTCCCGGTTTCTCCTACTTGCCACTACCTTCTCGGAAGCTTGTACGTGTACCCAATTTCGGTTACAGGATTCACGGAGCACAAATTGTAAGCGCTTATCCTTCAGTGTGAGACGGTTGGCGGGCCCGGCCAGGTAGAGTGCTGGTTGACTCGTACATCATCAGCATGCAATAGCTTGGCGCTAACACCAATCGGCATGTTCGATGAGAGCCCGGCGGCTTGATTGCAACTATAGCGACCTGATGCGAGCTTATCGGTCTAGTTTGGGGTGAAACTGGCGGGACTTTTGAACCAATTGAAATGCAAATTTGATTGCTCGTTTACAAGATGGACCAGCTAAGACATGCAAAGGCGGCTCACTCATGCTCATTTGGAAAGAGCGTACTCAAAGTCTTTAGGCTCTCGCGCTTTTTCCTCAAGTTGGTCGAGGACTAAATGTTGCTTGGTGGTTGCTTGATCTTGCATGAAATATGAATGATACGGTCAGAATAGCAAGGAACCAGGTTTCGGGCCGCGCACATGGCTCAACTCCGCGGCCGCGCGACCGCACACGCCCCGGGCCGCCCGGCCCTGAGGCCGCCTCGAGTGCGGACCGTCCGGGAAGCTGAGAAGAGCCAGCGCGCGTCGACTTCGTCCGCAGTCGGCGTCCATGTCCGAGTGATCCATCAGATATTAACACGTGGCGTGATGTCGTTGCCTCCCAAGGTCGCCACTTGTCCAGTCGCGACTCGCCATGCCAGTCAGCAACGTCCGCGTCCCGGGGCCACTGCTCAGGATGCAGAAATGGCGCCGCCCTGCTTCCGAATCTGAGTCCCCCTTCAGCGTGTTCACTGTTCACGTCAAGCAGGAAGAAGGGCAGCTTCTGAAGTCTGCTGCACAAGCTGCTCTCCACTCAACTGCGGGAGCGTGGGCCTGAATGGCCTGAAGCGAGCTGCCCTCAGGCGTCATCGTTCGGGGCCTGGTAAGCTGACAATGTGTATCGTTCCTGACCCCTCATCAATGGCTTCGGTTTGAATGGCATTCCGTGTTCGCCTCATTGAACCTTCATTGCACGGCTAAGCAGGTTGAAGCTGCATCCGTTCAATTGCATGTTTTTGCTCCGTGCTGACAACGAAGCTAGAAAAGCCTGCTGATGGTGCCCCCAATGTTGACAAACCGGTTTCATCAGCTTGTTCGGAAAGGTTGCTAAAGACAGAACATTCAATATTAAAAAGTTAGGTGCGCCAGTCAGCTTCCATGAATGTGAAAGGACATCTGCTCCATAGATTTGGGTAGACAAAATTCATCATGGATTCGACATGTTTTAGCTCTTTTTTGAAGAGTCAAGATTTGAACAGGCTCTCAATTGATACATTATGTGCTGTAAGCAGGAAGGTGAGCTGTGTGGAAGACTCACAAAGCTTTCCTGGGACAGGATCTTGTCAAGGCTGTTCCTGACACCTCGTTGAATGCAATTTCGGCTACACTGCTGGCAGGCAGTTTTGAATCAGCCTCATACTTCATCTACTTCTCTGCAGTTGATTCCTTGGCTCCCTCCCATGCCATAGCAACAGTCAAATATCCCGTGACGGACCAGGGACAGTTTGCTTGTTCAATAGTTTCATCAAGGAAGTAGGCATCGTTGATTCTCTTGCCAAATGGATGCAGCATCTCCAAGGGAACTTGTGACTGAACCTGATGAAACAAGTGGAGGTGCGATGGCCACCCAAGAGGATCAGTGCACCCAGAATCCTGCTGGTCTTCATCAAAGACACAGGGCCAGCCTCCAACGAAATGAAGAGGAACAGACTGATCAAGAAATCAGACAGTCTTCCGCCGAGGGTCAAGAAGGTCCACCAGCGAAAGAGTCTAGAAATGTGGAGTCGGCATTGGGCCCGACTTTGAGCAAGGGACAGTTGATGCCAGATGGGAGGCAGAGGAGAAGAAAAGGGAGCAGAAGTAGGAAACGAGGGCAATACAAAACAGAAACTGATACGAATCGCGGCAACAGAGCAGATGACCAAGAAGGCACCCGGACCAAGGATCGTGGAAATACAGAAAGTCAGAAGGAGACTCTCAAGTCTTTTGCATCAGATAGTGAGGCTAACTTAACAGTGCATAGTCGGGACAGGCACGCCAGCAGTATTCTCTCTTCTCCAACTGAGTGGGATCCAGAAGGTAAGGCTCTATGGGACAGTCAGCAGCGGTTTACTTGAGCATCTGCAGTCCTTTTTCAGCTGTCTTGTTGTCAAGAGCAGATGCTGCTTCCCGCATCAACTACCTTGAGAAGTTGTTCCGCACGTGATCTGACGCAGAAATAATTGGAAGATGCGATGAATATAAATATCATTTTGGTATATTTTCAGAATGGTAGGGAATTCGAACTACCATTGATCTGTCTGATCCCTTCTCACAGGGCCAAAGGATGTGCGACCTTACCGGCGTTACTTCGAGTCAAAGCAAGATGAATCTGCTCCTAGCACTAAGAGCGTCTTCGAGGTCCAAGGCTTTGCAGGCGCTCACGGGGCTACACCACCAGCCTCCTCTGACCGATTCTTGCAGAGGGCTGGGAAGCTACTGGACAGGGTCTTCCCAGTCATGCACCCCCTGTCTCATTTCATGGCTATCGAGAACCTGATCTTCGGCCTGCTCGTGCTGTACTCTCTGGTGAGTTTTGTAAAAAACCTGAGAACTGCAAACGATTTCCTACTACTTTAGTAATTGTGCTTGTTGTGCAAAGCCTGCAAGCAAGAGGAGCGTCAAGCACAGACTCGATCACCCACTATCTTGCTAAGTGCGGTATTCTCTGCAGAAATCTAACGTTGCCAGAACAACTTTCTTTGTGCACGCAGTTCTCGGTAACCTACCAGATCGGGTTTGATCAGACACCACAAAAGGCATGGCTATACTTTGAGACAGCGGTGGATGCGATGTACTATGTCGATTGCGTGATCCAATTTCGGGTGAGTGCTAGACTGTCTTACCTCAGCACATAATGTGCATCAAATAGAAATAACACGTGGATGCCTCAGCTTGATCCGCTTTGTTATGATGGATGCGGCTAGTTTCGCATGAAATCCTTGGGTGTCTTTCTGCCAGTGTCGAGCGGTCTCAGACTCCCCTCCGCATGTGTCGGTTTGCCTGACCAGCTGTGCCGTCTGTAACGCGCCTGCTTCGAAGAATCTCCTGCGTTTTCGAAGGGTGTCCCTGAGCCTAGCAACTCTTCGACCACTCAAAATGTTTGGACTGCTGCTGGCACTCAAAAGCTGCTCTATCAGTGAATTAACGTGTGGATTATCTTTGTCCATCATTCAGGTCGGGTATTTCTCTGGCACCAAGTTGCCTGCCAGCGCTCAGAAACGCATGATTGAACTCGGGGGTGCCATTCCCAACACCGTTATGGACGGGCGAAGGGTTGCGTGGCACTACTTTACGCACTGGTAAGCGTCCGAATGTGTTGCGAGGAGTGTGCGAAGTCGTGCTTTGTTCATCTTTACTGACAGCTCATATGAGATGCTTCAGAAGCTAAAGTTCGTTGCACAAGAAGGAGTGCCAACTGACAGCATGTGGCGTTGCTCGAACCAGCCGTTCATGTGGAGCTATTTTGCAGGTTCTTTGTAGACTTCGCCTCCAGCTTTCCTTTCGACATCGTCTTCGCATACATCAAACCTAACCGTCCTTGGAGCTTGCAAGTAAGTGCGTCAGCTTGCCAGAGGGCCGTGAACGGAGGACTTACCATCGGATCCTCTGCCACTATGTTGGAGTAAAGCGATTCGTTTGCTGCCGTTTATGAAAACCTTTTTCACTTTGGCTGTGGATGTCGTGCTTCGTCTTGCAGACTCCGGGACTTTGCCGATTCTCATCTGCCTAGGGATGGTTTGCCTGATGATTTGGGAACTCTCGCTGGCAGCTTCCCTGTCTGACGTCATTCAGTCTAATTTGGATCTTCAAAACAGCAGTACTGTAAACGTCCACTTTCAATTCTTGATCTGCCGGGCTTCCGGGTCAACCGGAGTCTTCGCTCTTTTGAAATGATGATAGGGCCCTCTCGTTGAGCCTCGCATAACGCGTCAGTGTCTTGTGCATGTGCATTTTTGGAACTAGACACAGGCACGGATTCCAGACTGACGCTACATGTTGACACTTGCAGTTCTTCATGCTGCTGAAGTTGCTACGATTGCCGCGCTTCTGGCGAGCACGGAGCCAGCTCAGAAGGTTCTTCAGCCAGAGCCAAGACGAGATTATTTCCCTGTTCACCACCATAATCTTCGTAAGCAAGTCACACTGAACAGCCCAGGCTTGAAGATCCTTTTCGCACTTTTCGAGGCCCTGTCGAGCTCATTTTGCAGTCGGCAGCAGTTTCAGTCATTGGCGATCAGGAGTAATCATTCAACAAAAAGTCTTTTCCTCTCGTTCAATAAGCTCCAACCCGCTCCATTGATGGCTGTGACGCCTTCGATCATAAGCAATCCGCGAACGTGAGACGTGTATACTTGTTGAACGTTGACTGTACTCTTCCCCGCCGTCGATCCAAGAAATTCTGCATAAATCGAGACTGCCACTTGATTCTCGTTCTACCTGGAATGTAGTACCACTCCTCAGATTGAACCCCTCTTGCAACAGCAACTGATGCAGCGGATCCGGATGGTCTCACTTCTCTTATGGTGTCCTCGCGGTTTATTGCAGATCTTCTTTTACTGCCACCTGTCCGGGTGCGTCTTCTGGTACATAGTCCAGCATGAGCACACTCCCAACAACTTCGCCGAGCTTGCTACCTGGGACGACAACGGAGTCGACAGGCCGCTCCAAGTGGCGCCTCCGGAAATCACCTACCTCGCCGTGCTCTACTTCCTCGTCGTTTCGTTTGCCTCTGTGAGTGCCCTGCTTTTCAGTGGTTTTGAGTGACGTTTTTTGTCAACTGCTCAATGTAGGGCTGCCTGGTGGCAATACGCACTGTTCAGGGGTTTACAGCCATTTGCGGATCAAAAAATCCCCTTTGCATGACCGCTGGTACTGTACAGCCTGTTCTTAAGTCGATACTGCTGCCGCTATTTGGCGTCGTCATAGCACTCTTTCCCGGTTAGCTGTGTTCGCGAAGAACCAGAGGTATTCAATTGTACCTTTGGGTCTGCAACTTTTCTCTCCCATTACACCTTCGCAGGTCGTTCTGTGATGCTTGCCAGTCGCTTCTTTGCTAGCGTCTTCGTGAACGATTCCCGTTGTTTGTGCCTGGCCTGGCAAAGCTTTCATTGTCTGACGCACTCCATACTGGTTTCCGGTCGTAAGGTCGGGTACGGCGACCTCCACCCCTCAGGCGCAGCCCCAGAGCGCATTTGGGCCATTTTCAACGGCGCCATCTCTGCGATCTGCCTGGGTTACGTGGTCGGTAAGATCACGTCGCTCGTCTTCACGCGGTCTGAGAGACGGATGCAGCTGAGGGAGCGCTTCGACGTCTTACACAGGTGAGCGGCGAGTAACTCGCCTTTGTTGCAGCAAACCTTCGAACCTCCGAGTGATGATACAGTATGCACAGAAATTGCGTCACTCAATGGCCGACGGGAAATAGGAGTGCGCCGATACATATAAACACTGGTTACTTTCCCTCAGCAGCCTCTCTTTGGAAAAGCATTCCTGCACCATGCTTTTGTCGTCGAATAGTTGACCGAATGTTTTGCCAGTGTGCTTTTGCCACGCCTTTGTTCATGACACAAGTCTGTCCTCCTGTTCACAGGGTGGTAGAACGCGAGAAGCTGCCAGAGATGCTCGCAGTACGGATGGTAAGCTCTTTGAATCCATCTTTCAGAAGGTTTGCACCAGCCCCGCCAACCATTTGTCTCATCAGGTTCTTTCTAAGAGCTGCTTTAAGGCTTTTAGCCTAAAGGTTCTATCATGTATAGAATCAGCTTTTGTCTGATTCGGACGGTTGTCGTCAAGCCACTGCGTTTCATTTCTCGGAGGTCTTATAAATCGTTGTGACACTTTTTCTGTAATTACTGCTTCTACACAGACGCAGCAGCTTGCTACCATCTGGGAGAGCAAGATTTACCGGTACAACGAAGAGGAGATGTTCAACGAGCTACCGGTACGTCTCCGGGGTTGCATTCTGTACGCATTATCTGTTCACGCCGTGTCGACTGCACCCATTTTTGAGATGTCGGTCGTCTTGAACTTGTCAAGCAGTGTTCACGAAGAAGTGAACGAGTATGGACAAAGTCATCGTGGCAGCCCTCTGGATTCTATCTCCTGAATTACCGATGTCTTGTTACCGTCCCCACTGGTGGACCATATGCTGGTCGATTGTTGACGCGTTCTTTATGCTGCAGCCTCATCTGCGCGCGGAGTTCTTGGCAACGTGGTGGATCCGACACATAAAGCCCAGGTTAGCCGTCGCTGCGCGCACAGTCGAAGCTACAAAGGCGGAATTGCGGATGTGCACGCTCTTGAATGGTGGCGGGGAAAATTGCAAAGTCTGCTGGAATTTAAGAAACTCCGCTGTGCACTCAAGCGGAATAGAACGACGCACATTTGAGATTGCTTGGTATCACTTCCGTTCCGACCTTCTTGTTCGGGCACAACTGAGTTCCCCGGGGGAGCGACAGAAGTTTCTTTATCTTTGACCTGGAATACTACTGCACTTGTGGTGACGTGTCAGCGTCTTACGCGGCAACACCTTTCTTTTGTCCACTTTCCGTCCCTGCTTGTGAGCTCATTGATCCGGCGCTTTTTGAAGCCATCGGATTCCGCGGCTTGAGCTCAGAACACAATCGGAGAGTTCCGGCTCAAGAACGTAGGAAACATCTAGGGACAGGTCAGGCAGGCAACTCACACGAAAGAGTACAAATGGGCTCTCAAGTAGACTGAAATAAGGTACACGTTTGACTGTGTTCTTTGCAGCGCTTTATTCCCACACTACTTCCCCTACCTGCGAGCCATTTTGAGCCAGGCTAATCGCCAGCTGAGCCCTCCCGGCGATTACGTGGTTCGGGAAGGGCAGATCAGTCGGAGCCTCTACGTCGTCTGGAAAGGGCACCTTGTCATCTCCTCGTCGCGTGCCGTCGAAAGCCACGAGCCAAACGAGGACCTGTGCAATGTAAGCGCTTCCTTCCTTGATTTTGCGACGTATTCGCAGATCCGCTTCTTGCTTCACCGGGTGCAGGTTCTTTGAATCTGTATTGGAGGAAGCCTTCGAGCACGATTTCTTCCTGAATCTGAAGAAGCTACGAAGAAGAGACCTGTTGAAAGCTGCAAGAGGCTACGAGTGCAATATCGAATTTGCCGACGCTCTAATGACCGGGAAGCTAATTACTCGGCCTTACGGGCATGTGACGTGTAATTTGTCGGTAGTCAATGCATCCCGCTTCTGAGAAAGATAACTTCCGAAATGTCACTCCTACCTCTTCTTTCCGCAGGATGCTAGAATGTATCCCCAATTCCACTCTGCTGCACAGGGTAACACGCAAGGCCCCCAAAAAGGGGCCGCGAAATGTCGTCAGGGCCAGTCAAGTCGGCCAGCGGCGCAGATGGTGATCGTACGCCGAAGTCTCATGCAAAAAGTAGAACTTAGTTGACTTCCGTGGACCTTCCGGGAAAGTTCTATCTTCTGCAACTGCAGGACCCAGAGGGGGATTGGAAGAACGGCGGGTTCCGCTCGGCGCCTAGACAAGGCAGACGACGGAGTTGGACGAAAGAGAAGGCCAGCCAGATCAAGGAATGGTTCACAAGGTATGCGCTGTCCATTCGTAGTACCCCGTTGCAAAGTTTTCCCGGTCCTCTTTTCATGCGCACTCACGTTGTCCTGTGCGTGAGACGGGACTTGCAAGCCCTGGAGATTAGCGAAGCGTGATCATGTATCTGTTTGGTCAACAACTTTGTTTTTCTACAGTTGTCTACTATCTCTTACTGGGCGGTAACCGCGCTATCGCCGGCAGACAAGGCAAGTCCTTTCCAGAAGAGAAGTCATTTGCTTAGTGTAGCAAAGCTTTTTTCTTATCTGGCCCACTGGATGATACCCCTTCGTTTCCTTAACTTCATTCGGCTGAGTAGCTCGTCCCGTCATTGTTCCTATAAGCACAGAACTCACTCGTTTATGGCTCAATCCTTGTGTTTCTCAAATATATTCTTGTTCTGGATCAGGCTCGATGCTTTGCCCCATGTTTAACCCCAAAGTCCACTCCCTGCGCTCTCAGCCTGTCAGAGATTGGCACTCACTTTTTGGCGCTTTAGTTCCGAACTTGTATCTTAGCTCCTCAGGCTTTGCCTCCAGCATAAGAATCAGTTCCTTATGACCCAACGGGCTCTACCTTCAACAAGGTTAAGCTTTCGTAACCGCTTCCTATTCACATCTGCGCAGGACTAAGCACAGGGGCGACGACTTTAGTGTCAGCAGCGCAGAGGAGTTCACCTCAAACACACACTTAAGCTTTTTTAACTCCGTTCTACTCATATCTGCGCAGGACTAAGCACCGAGGCGACGACTTCAGCGTCAGCAGCGATGCCACCGACGTCTCCAGCGCTGACGACTGGGACTCCACCGACAGCGAGACGGCAGAGCGGGGCGACCACCGCAGTAAGCGCCACTGGGAGGTGGGCGCCGGGACGATCATCGGGGAGCGCGCGCTGATGAACGAGCTGGCGCGGCGCATGCGCGAGCGCGGGCCCGACTGGGAACGAGTAAGCCGTTGCTGTGATCGACTGTTTGCGGGTGTTCCGTTCATGCCGCCCTTTGGCTCCTGTAGAGCGCGTTGTGTTTCCTTGTTTTGTAACAACTCGCGGGTAAATCCACTTGAGGGGACGGCTCAGGTTGATAGTCAGCGTGTGTGCTGCACGACAGCCAAGGTCTGTCTCATAATAGGACTCTTGAAGTAGTGGTGTAAGGCAGCCTTTGACGAGCAAACTTTTCTGGCATCTACCGCGGAGTAAGGGAAAAGCGTCGGCTCATGTTTGTCCGCTTCCTTAAACCAGGAGTCGAGTAAGGCAATGAACGCCTTTTCTTATGCCTTTGTTAAGTGCACTTTGAATCCCCATTTTTACAGCAAGCTGTCCAGGAAGCTGTGTAATCCGCAACTCGTGCACTGTGGCCTTGACTGGAAGAGGGATGAGCCCACTCATAGAGGTCCGCTTTGCGTACATCATCTTTGCGTCACTTCATCCTGAATCCTCTCGTAGCAGAGTGCATGGTCGATGGACGAGTCTCATGGGCTCCTTTCATTCGTGTTTGCAGATCAGAGTCTCGAGCATCAATATGGACGTGACGGCAAGATCTATTGACGAGACGTACATCCTTCGGATCCTGATCGACGACCTTATCATCGACGACTTTCCACCCCTCCTTGAAGACCTGATGGAGGCCCTCAAGCATTACGAGTACACGCCTCCCGGAGTGAAGAACAGAGACACGTAGTAGAGCGGACCCTTCCTATTAGAATGCAGCCGCTAATCGATAGGTTTTGCGTCATTTGGTACGTCTTGCTTATGATTCTGTTGTTGCACTTGTTAATCCAGCCAACGTTTCTACCTCCAGGTCTATAATCTTGACGAAGACCTACCGATAGAACCCATCAAACCTTTTAGCGAGCTGGTGTTCAGAGTGGACTGACGAGGGTATAGGACTGGCACGCGATATCCGGATTAAGGTAGATTCAATCTGAGCAAATGTATCTGCGCAATTGCGCAGGAGCCTGGCCTTACTGGTCACTTCAAGGAAGCTTTGACGGTCACCGCCATAACGAACAGCGAGCACATCATGCCGCGTACCTTGATCATTTAGTAGATCTCCTTAACAGGTAATCACGCGACCGCCCGTTCCTATGATTCGGCATGATGCGCGAGCGGCAGCTCTCAAGGTGCGTACCGCAATAGGTGATGATCCAAGTTAAGCTATCACTGTAGCACATGCGGCAGCACGAGTTCATAACCTAGTTGCTTGGACGGTAATGATACATCGACCTATACTAACCGTCATAACCTTGCAGGAATTGAGTCAGTGACCCATGCAACTCAACGTACTAGTATGTGGCCGGGCATATATGCCATGATGCCGCATGGGGACGTACCGCGGGACGTCAATTCGGAAATTTCCATCTCCAATTTGTTGCTCACAATATTCTCGAGCAGCTTTGGAGGTATTTTATTGGAATCAACAAATCGTACGCATTCATGTGCAATTTATGACAAAGGGATCAGAAATTTGCGCCTCAATGCCGGTGTCAGCATATGCAAGCCATGGTATTATGGGGATATTCGGTTAGCTCAGGCTTTTATGATTTCCGAGCCGAAAAGTTCTGCATGATTAATCATACTCTAATCAATCATTCGTAGGGCTATCCTGACTGATACTTTAATCAATCAACTTATCCGCGCAAAGGCCAGGCTCCATCCAAATCCTGGGGGCACACCCGCGCTAGACAACATCAAGTGCAGCCTGAACTTCGTAGACAGCTCCAAGAAGGGTCGGACTCCAGCCCTCCTTCGCAGATCATATGCAACTATTATAATATACTGTGTACTTACAAGTTCCGACCAGTATCATTGACCAGCAGAGGTGTAGTATTCCATGCACCTAAAGAATATCGCGGCAGCGAGCTGGACCAGGGAAGGCCATATCCCCGACAAAATCCTACCCGATCCATTTACCACAACGTCACCCAAAGTTGATATCTGTTCGTTCCAAATATGGATAAAGCCAGCACATCCGCATCCAACGGATTCCTTAATTCAATATTCGCTAAATAGTCAACCCCAGCAACGATCCCGACTTCCCGAACACCTCTTACATGCTAGCAACAAGCTGCTTCAACGGCTTGCTCTCAGCCACATCCGCCATCGGCTTGCTTTCCCCGTCCGCCATCGGCTCATCGCTGCGTGGGGGCAATACGAGGTGTGAATGGTCATCTTCGAAGTTCTCTTGCTTCTCTGGCCGGTGGTCGGGCAGAAGCTCGTTGCGCTCCCCGTGCTGGTCCGCGAGTTTGGACGTGTCGTTGCGGACCTGCTCGCTTTGGACCGGGTCCGACTTGCCCTCCTGGATTCCGTGCAACTCCAGAAAGTGCTCCACTTGGAGCGCGGCCATGCAGCCCGTCCCTGCACGAGGAGTAGAAGTTGATTATGAACTTGGGTTCCAAAACATCGGTGGCTTGTTCCAACCGGCGTTCAAGGGCTCAAACTTCCTCGCGCGGTTCTTTGCATGGAGTATCTTGATGACCTTAAGTAGCCACGCAGCACAGACGTTGCTACATTCAATGCGGCGAGTGCAAAACCTGGACCGTTTTGTAACCAAACTTTGAGTCGCTGGTTCTAGCTGGGTGACACCGACTATGCGGACTGCCTTCCTGAAACAGGCGCCCAAACACAATATTTTTACAAGGGCCTAGTCTCTTGCAAACCTTCACAGATAGAAAAGCCAGAGGTTATCGTTGGAAGCAACATAACATTTCATGGCCCCTCGCGTAGTGTGAGAAGGGGCTACAAACGCACACTGTTCCATGAAAATCAAAAGCCCTTCAATATGTGGGACATGCACAGCCATTAATGCGACCAAAAACAAAAGAAGGTGCGGCTGCAATTGGCGCCGAAGGGTCTGACAAAGATCCTAATCTCGGTTTTGATGTGAAACACATTGCCAGATAGTATTTTCTCTACCATCAGCAACTGATCAGAAACGAGTAAACGATTCTAATCCAGGAAACTAGGCGCAACGCAATTTTTCTTAATGAAAGAGCAGCACCATGGGGATCCCCCCGTCCACCCTTCTTTTCAGTCCAAACCACCACGTCCGCTCAGCCTGTGGGGCCCTTGACTCCGACTTCTGCACCCTCAAGCACGCCAAACCCACTGATGACTTACCTGCGGCTGTGATCGCCTGTCGCCATTTCTTGTCCTGCACGTCGCCTGCGGCAAACACTCCCTCCACACTAGTTTCTGTTGTCCCAGGCGTGACCTTGATGTAATCTGCACCAACAAGGGCACACACTCCATGTTAGAACAAGAGGCGTATGAAGCGTTTGTTGTCTTGGAGCTTGCTTTGAGTGACTAATGCAACATTCGATCGCCGCATTCAGCTTGGCACAATGCCTTTATCCAGGTAGCTGGAGTCTTTTACTCGGTCATTCACTGAGCCTTATTCAGTCCCTGCGATACTGGTTCAGACCCTCTTGGGAACGATTCACTCCGTTCTTCGTTCAATCCAGTCCCATGAGCAACAAGTCAATGTGAGCTGTTCCTTCATTAGTATCAACATGCAGACGATCCATCTAGTAAGGGGCCAATGCCAGAATAGTACCACCTTTTCACATCCTTAAGCAAATCTCCAGATCAAGCACCGTGCACTCCAACGAGGGGGCAACCCAGACTAATCTCTATGTCAAGCACACATTTTGAAATGATTGTTGAGTAATTGCGTCAGCGAGGCATGTGATCACCGCAGCTAGCCTAATTTCAACTACCACCTTCATTTGACATGCAGCCTGCTTCACAGGTCTCCTCCCCTGATTGGTAAACTTTGTTTGCATACAAACTTGTTCAAAGACAAGGACTCAATCTGCCACCACTTATGCTAGGGAGGGGGAAGAAACAGTTGCACGGAGGGGGAGGGTCTTAAGGAAGCTCAGAAATGAAATATTACCAGTCGGAGCCAGCCAAGACCAAGCAAATTGCCAAACTGCTTGTCTGGAATTTCCAAGAAGCTTTTAATCAAGTCTTTGCCAGTGCATGATAGCAGGCAGTTTAGTAGCACGTAGGATCGGGGGCAGTGACCTTATGCACATTAACAGATCTGTTGCAGAAACCTTTGTGATCCTGAAAGGCAAATTGTGAAAGGAAGTCCAGATCTCACCATCCTCGTCCATCGCCAGCTGTCCGTCCAAGAACTTGGTCGCAGGCTCATGCCCTATCGCAAAGAAGAGACCGTTCACCGGAAGATCTGTCACGGCCCCCGTTACAACATTCTGCACCTTCAGTCCACCCAGCCTGCCCTTCTCGTTCCCATACGCCTCGTTCACAACAGTGTTCCAGAGTACCTCAATCTTCGGGTGCTCTAACGCCCGTTTCTGCATGATCTTGCTCGCCCTAAACTCGTCCCTCCTGTGGATGATGTAAACCTTGGACCCATACTTCGTCAGGAAGATCGCCTCCTCCATGGCAGAGTCACCGCCCCCGATCACGACCAACGGCACATTTCGAAAGATTGGAGCGGCCCCGTCGCACACCGCGCACGCCGAGATGCCCTTGTTCCAGAAACCGCCAACCTCCCCCGAGCCCTTGAATTCGAGCCTTTTCGCAATCGCCCCAGTGGCCACAATCACCGTCTCTGCCGTCACCTCCTTCTCATCCGTCCACAGCGTGAACGGCCGCTTCGAGAAGTCCACTCTATTCACCGTCTCAGAGAAGATCTGGGTGCCGAACCGCTCGCTCTGCGCTCGGAATTTGTCAGTCAGCTCAGAGCCATGGATGCCTTCAGGAAAGCCAGGGAAGTTCTCAACGTCGGTTGTGGTGGTCAATTGGCCGCCCGCAGCAATCCCATTCGCCAGCCACCCCTCAAAGAGAACAGGCTCGAGTTGCGCGCGCGCCGCATATACTGCGGCAGTGTGTGCCGCAGGGCCCGATCCAATGATTGCTAGTTTCGTGCTTAACTTTGTTTTCTCCTTTCTCAGCCCCATCGTGAAGAACCTTGCTGTGAAGGATTGGGAAATGATTCGAGTGTGCGGCTGCTGTTTAATCGTGCTGAGAGCGGAGGCTTGTCTTAGAGTAGCGGTAATTCGCTGGAAAAGTGCCCTGCTCAGATAGGGGGCACCAGTCAGCATGTGTTGATCAGAAATTGGTGATGAAACTGCCTCCGCCGCAGTCGGTGAAACCAGAACCCTTCTCAGAGGCGACCTGTGAAGCGTTCTCTGGTTAGATCTCTGCGAATACCGATGATTAGAAAAGCCTGGTGGACTCCCTTGAGTCCCTGTTTCTGAAGAAGGCGGAAAGGCGGAGGAGGGGCGCCTTTGCAAGATCAGACTTCGCATGCAAGGACTCGGAATCTGATCATGACATTTGAGACGTTTTCTTCCTGTTTTCTTCTCAGTGCGAAGCAAGGAGGGCAGATTCGTGGAAGGGTGACTTTTCGCGGACGCGGAAATGGCTCGCAGAAAAGTGACGACATTGGAAGATGAACCTTACCGCGCCGTCCGATCTAGATATCTAGATATCGCAGCCGTCCGTCTTCTTACCCCTCCCGCCAAATTGTCCGAATTGTCCAGATGGGGTCTGGATGGGTCTGGATGGGTCTGGACTTTTAAATACCTAGGAATAGTAGGATAGTCTTGAGGCAGATGTGGTCTCATGACATGAGTCATGACGAAAGAGGGCGCAAGCACCCGGGCCAAAACAAGGAACAGCTTTTCTGGCGACTTTGCCGCGCCAGTGAGAGTGTTGACTTTGGCAGGAGAAAGCGCGGGCCTTGATTGAGAAGCCTCTTCTGCTCTGACGCTGAGCAACACTGCTTCAAACCCTAATCCTGATGCAGCACTTCTGCTCATGCGCAGCAACTCCCGCATTGATCGCTCCTCATACACGTGATCCATGAGACTGATTCGTCTAGCGGATGCCGAAACTCTTTGAAGCACGCCTTTCCAGCTTTTAATTGTGACAGGAGTGGTTGACACGCTGTTCCCTGGTGTTGCATTCGGCCTGCGTGCATTTTCACTGCATCAATTTGCAGCACCTTAGCGGATTGAGGTTTCAGAAGCACATGTTGCTGGTTGCATCAGCATCTAAGCATTGGGACAGTAAGATTCCTCCACGGCAGAGATCCTTGCTGCATTTTACCACAACTCAGTGACATTGATGGCGGCCCCGAAACAGGCAGAAGAACCTGACCCTAGTCGAGGTATGCGCCAGACTTCTCGAGCCTCTCTCTGCTCCTTTGCACACTTTTATAGCAAATGCTTCTTTCGCGGACCTTGAGTGGTCACAGACCATTCTTCTTCTCCTAGAGTGTACCATTAAAATAATAGAAGTGTGTGGATAGGAACACTTGGCACCGGCAAAGCCTCATGTTGCATTGATTCCTTGTGTGTTTCTTCTCTTGCCGACTGTGGCCTTCCCGCTCTCTATGGGGCAATGATGACATTGCATTCTACGCCCTTTACTTTGGTGTACATTGCCCTTTCACCCAACTTTGATTGCCGACCCTTTCTACTGCCTTCTGGAGTTTTCAGAGCCACCATGCGTTAAAACATGATTCTTCGACCAAAATCAGGTCAAAGGCACTTTACTGGACATCTGTGGACTGACCTCGACATGGATGCGTTTGTGAATCGGCAATCAGCCATGTTCACTGTGCGTTAGCTTGAAATCATCTCAAGGTCTCAGCCCCACTTCTGCAGGTCTGCAAAAGACACAGAGCCTGTGGCTCGCTGAAAGCCCCAGCAAGCGATGGACGGAGCGCTTCTTTCTCTGGTACAGTCCAGTGTGGATCATTTGGGCCCTTGGTATTGTTGTCCCGTTTCAGCTGTATGAGGTGAGGCATCGGTCGGCTTCAAAGAAAAATGAGCGTTCTTTCAGGGCCAGCCTTCGCCAACTCTGGGGGCTCTGTTTTTCAGGGGCAATCCAAACATTGAAGAGATCTTAGGCAGCAGGATGTGACATCCTACTTTGCCACCATGCTGGGGTTTCTACAGAGGCAAGAGTAGTAAATACTCGACTTATTCTGATTGGAGAATGATCCATGACCTCAGCGCTGGACATGAACAGAAGGAACTTTCTTTGTCTTGCCAATTGACGTCCATACGAAATCCCAGCTTGACAAAGCTTCACGGGTTGTTCAGATCCTGATATCAGTGGACCTGAAAACCCGGAGGGCATTCAGAATGTTGACGATTCAGCGTTCACTAGATTGTGTCTGTCAATCGTGCAGCGTTTTAACGAGTTGGAGTACCTCATTGTGGGCCTTGCAGCGGCGCTCCCGTGTTGCATTCTGCCAATTTTCATCGTGGGGAAGGTGAGCATGTAGAAACATTTGGATCCCCTTGCTCTTTTGACACTGTCAGGACCAACAAACGCTCTGCCGCCCTTTCCGCATCCAGTGCCGACTTGTAGCTCTCAATTGTGTGTGGCGTCTTCCTCAGAACTTTCTCTCGCTGGTGTGCACTAGTATTCTTGACAAAGGTTCGGAGCCCTGGCTGCATCGGGTTTTGAAAAAGCGGGGTAGGTGCCATGCAGGGTTCAACAGCAGATTGCATTTAAGATTCGACCATACTTTCAAGAGCTTTCGAATACATGTGTGCCTGCTATCCGGTTCAAGAAGCACGCTTTGGGTTCAAAAGGCAGGGGTACATGCTTCCAGAATCAGAGCGAAGCTTGTAAGATGCATCATGTGATCCTTTTTGCAACTTCGTAGTGAAACTCCTCACCCTCCAGACAGGAGCGATACACTTTGAAGCTCAAGTTACAAAATGTCAAAGTTCTTCAGTGGTTAAACTTTCTCCTCTGAATTTCCCATACTTGCAAACCATCTTGTGTGACAGGCAGACCGTGGAAGGCCCTATCACGAACGCCACTGGGTAAAGGTGGGTACACTTTTACGTGCTCCAAGTCTTAAATCTGCTGTTAAGAGACGGAGAAACTTTGTTCATTTCTTCGCAGTTTCACTTCAGAAAGCTCTTCTGGCGAGTTCTGTTATTGAGCGAGCAAGGCTGTTGGATTGCCAAGCAGGCTGTTTCCGTACTGTTCACACCATGTTCAGAGGAACCATCTGCGATTTGCACATTGATCTGCAAGAGCAGCAGGGTCCGCTGCATCCATCAGAGTTGCCTTCTTCCCGTTCCGCATGCCATGCTGACCGGATCGTAATTGCTAGAAAACTCAAGCTTTCGTATCATGGTCCAAGCCTTGGCAAGACCTCAAGTACTGTCCAGAAGGATACTTCGAGACCCGATCTAATACAAACGCCTCCACTGGAAGATGTCCGACCTTTCAGACCAGACTCCAACGGTCTATACTCACCCGCCGGTTCTCTTCTCCATTGCAGGCCAATGTGTGGATTGCCATTTTCAGTTTCATTGGCAATTACTTCTGGACCCACTACTTCTACAGCCTCCTAGGAGCGACCTACACCTTCCCGTCATGGCGCCTTAATGACGTAAGGAGCTGGCACTTGAGTCAGTAGGATCTTTTATAAAGAAGAAAGATGTTTCGGACACAAAATTTGGACCGAGATTGTGTCTAAACACCTTACGAACCCTCTGCTGAATCGGGAGAATCCTGCGCTGTTTCTCAAGACTGGGGTGACGTTCTGCAGACCCTCAACTTGGGTTGCGTTTTCGAGGTACTGAAGTGCGGAATCCAGCCGTGCTTCGCCGAAGAGGCTCTGCGAGACTCATTCACTGTAGCATTGCTATTAACAAGATCAAAACACATGGCTGACACATAAAAGCTAACCTTCTGAACATAAGCTCTGCGCCTCAAACTGCATTCAGTTCATTCGCCGCGTTTCTCCACAAGTTTCCTTTCAATCACATCCCTTTCGATCACGGGTCTGGCGTCAGGTACAGGCAGAGAGAATTTGCGGGGAAGGCAGATTGTAACTGTGATAAGGCACCCAGGCTGAACGCAGATTTTCGCAAGAGCGGGTCATGAGAAACGGACCTTTTCTCGGTGCCTTCCAATCTGTTTTGATGACTCACGTCTACTATTATGCGCCGTCAATGCACCCATCGACTCAAACCCAGAATCTTAACCTCACATCTTACCTTCCTTTTTCTGTAGGTGCCCTTCATCTATCCCAGATAACGCACGCCTAATTCTGCTTCTAACACACGCCCTCAACTCGCGCACTAACCAGTCGTCTTAACCTCAATAGCAAATTCCACACCTTTTCCC